TCACTAAGGCTTTGGGATCACCATTCCATCTCTGTGATGAGACCAGCCTGATTCCTCATACTCAGGGCAGCAAAATCAGTTTTGTCTGTGCTCAGAGATACTTTGAACTAACCAGGGCATGTAGCTGCTGTTAGACAATGTCTTAGGAACTGTCAGTCTCTTGCCTATTTCTTAGTCCTCTGGAGTTGCCCTTAGTGTGTTACCGCATTTCCCTGGTAGTCTTTAAAATGGCAATATAACATTGATACGTGTTTTGCTTTTAAGGAAATGAGAATACCTTGTGGTAAGAAGCCACTTGGGTTAACAATTCAGGTAGGATTATATACCTGTCTACTGGTTTTCTGTTTTGAAGTATATCTTTGTTACCTGTAATATCTGTCATGATAGCTCTTTCTTTAATCTTCTCACTGTTGTAAAAGGTTTTTTTTTGTTTGTTTGGGCCAAATTTTGCTGAGAATGAGACACATGACATGGAGCAGGTATTTGCCTGAAGGCTAGGAGAAAGCTATGCCAGTAAATATTGTCTATGCTGGAAAGAACTTGGCACTATATAAGTTCAGCATGTAATTTTGCAGTAAATCAGTCTTGTATAAATATAAAAAAGGTGTGGACCCCTTGTTGAATCAGGTGTTACATATCAGATTGAATTGCATAGGTAAGTACAGAGCTAGTCATGATGGACAAATTTGTGCTTAATTTGCAGCAGTTAAACAGTGAGCTGATGTTATGTACCGCCCAAACCAACATCCGTGGCTCATGCCTTGTCTTCTATACTTGTAGAAGCCAGTGTCAGTCTCCCTGTTGTCCACAATGCATATTTTCTAGGAGTGAAGATTCATTGTGCCTGGAGAGCAGGCAGAACCAAAAGAGTTCTGGCAGTACAAACAATATTCAGACAGTACAGCGGGCTAGATTGTCTTTAAAATATTAGCTTGAGATTGTTTCATAGTCACAATAGGTAAAAACAAACTTCTGCTCAGGTGGAGGTTCTGAGTGAGCTTAAGAACTTCTGAGGAGTAGGGAGGAGAGATGGTTTGGGTCCTTCTGGTATGTTTCAGCCAACAGCCCAGATGTTTACCAGTTCCCATGACTGGCTTTGTGAGAGTATTATGAGGCTTATGATAGCTTGATGAGTGCCTTGGGATATTTTTTTAGAGAGCACTCTAATGTGTGGTTCAAAGGCAGGTGGGATTTGTGTGGCCTAGATTCGGGCTGTCATTTTATAAGTGTGTACCTATATGGGAATAATCTGGGCATCCTGCATCTGCCAAGGTGAACATGTCTTCTGCCAGCATTGACTGCTCTGCACTCCAGAGTGCGTGCCCCATACACCAGAGCTGTTAGGGTATGTTGTAAAGACAGTCTAATATTCCATGGAAAAACATGTTCTGTTGATTGAGTGATTACAGTAGTTCATCCTTTCTGTGACTTAATACAGAAATAGTGTGTAAAACTCTTTCCAGTCTAATATTGATATCCTTAGTAATTTCCAAGAGTTTATATGATGATAATACAAATTCTCTTTTTATATCAGTCTAGGATGGTAAGAAATGAGGGTGTCTCTTTGTTCTTGACTGTAAGAAAGGATGCTAGTAACTGCCGTACTTGCATTATAACCAGATGTTGAATTATTATGGAAAAAATGGCTCCTTCATAGCTAAAGTACATTGCTGAAATCACATGGTTTCCAAGTCGGAGATGGCAGCTGCTAGTTTTCGTAGAAAAGGATCCAATTTCTTTGTGAACTTGATCACCAGTAAGTGAAATAAGAATTTAAAAGTCCTGAGAGAAATACGAATATATTCAGCTTTACTATACTGGGCTCCAGTCAGCATTCAGATCTTTACATCAGTATGGAGCCCGTGCACATAAAATTATTAATAAGGTCCATGTGAAAATTCACATTTTGCTAAGCTCATGATGTATTCATAATTAATCTTTGGAAAGAGGATAGATGGAAAGAAAGTTACCTGCTTATTCTTCTGTATAGCCGTAATTGTCAAAGGCACAAGGTTTTTTCAAATATTTATATCAGCTTTTCGTATTCAAATATGAATGTGAACATTGCAGAGATGTCGCAAATGTTCCTAAATTAAATTCCCAATTACATGTTTTTGCATAAAGCAAAGTATGTTAATATGTGTGGTGAGATTTCAAGTAGCTTATTTGGATTTGGCTTCAGAATTCAAAGTTGGCTCCATTGTTGGCTTCAGATAGAAGCCAATAATTTAGGTGCTTGAGAAGTAATTTGCTATTTTAGTACCTCAATAACTGTTTAAGTAACAATGGCAGAGGAGTAAGGACAAGAAGAAGAGAGCAGTTATAAGTAGTGGAATTCTAAGAGTTAGATTTTATTTTGCTTTAAATCATTTCTTGGCTTAGGACCTGTTTTTTGAGAAAGCATGCCAACATTCAGCCCAATTGCTCTATGTGCAAAGCGCTTGAACTGATTCTCCTGCACTGTCGTAGGTGGCAGTTAGGTGGCAGGAGGCTGAGGCCTCCCAGCTCTGAGACTTGCCTCAGCTCTGCCCTATGGCTTTTGGTCATATTGTCAAACTTGCTGGGTTACTTCCATGTCAGTACCCAGGTTTGGAAATTAGGCTCTGTCTCTAGGTGGTGGAATGGGAGAAAAGGACCTTCAGAGGGCTTTAGATTTTCTCTTCCTCTGTTCACTAGGGAGGTAGTCAAAAGGAGATTGGTTGCGTGCTGATGCTGTAGTTTCATGAGATAGTTTGGACTGACTTAACTTCTGAACTAAAATTTCAAGCTGTATTCTACTTGATGTCCTCCCCTTCCCCAGTGTCCATTCCCTGCCCTGCACCACTGCTGTTTGTTTACCTTGAGTGAACTTGGGTACTCATTTCATTTCAGAATAGGCTTCTTTAACTCACTGATGCAGCAAATAGAGTTGTGTTGGTTTTTTTTTTATTGGAATAATTGAATTCATTTTTGATGAAATGAGTGCCAGGGTCTGTGCAATGGCAGAGGCAAGAGTGACTTTGTGTGACTGAATATGAAGTGGAAAGAGCCAGGAAGGAAGGAGAGAAGAGATTAAGCTGTTATTTTGGTTCAGACATAATGTGAATCCTCAGCTCCTAGGTAATGTTAATTGGGAGGAGTCCATACAACAAGTGATTTACTACTGAATAATTAAAGCATTCATGTTAACAATTAGAAGGCAGTAGGTCTTAAATACTTAGCTAAATTAACTAGATCCTTTTCTGAATTAGAACTGGTTGACTCTGCATAAGGAAAAGAATCATTTGAATTAGGAATGTATTTAGTAGAATAAGGTAGGGAGTGTCTTTTAATAAACCGCTCTGTCTCTTAGGAATGCCTGTTATGCTGGAGAATCTTGCGGTTTCCACTTTTAGTTATTGTACGTGAATCAGGCTCTCTTGTGGAAGAAGCAATATCACATTCTTCCTTACCTCTCCCATGCTTGGTTCCAGCCATGCATTCCTGTTTTGTCCTGTAGGCTCTTTTGTATCTGAGTTAACTTGCTAGCTGACCCAAAAGAAGCTGTTCAGTTTATTGGGATGGATTAGTTTTCTGACAGGTCAACAAATTTAATCATGTTGGCAGGTAGTCTGGTGAGCGAGGCTGAGACTGAAGGAAGTAGGGCTATGCCTTTCTTTTGCAGCAGCAAGCAACTAGAATTGGCCAATCTGTATCATTGTATCATATCATCAGAGCGTGAAATGGGATCCTTTTAGTGGAATTGCATGCTTAATAAAAATACACACTTCAATTCTTGTGTGTGTCAATATTGTATGTACTGTGACATGGTGAAGTCAGAGCAAATGTATATATGTGTGTGTGGTATTTTTTTTTTTTTTAATTTGTTTTCTCTTTAAATTTGAGAAATTTACACTGGTATCCTACTGTTAGAGTATTTACATGAAATATGGAAAGTGAGATTTTTATGGGTAAGTCATTTCATCCTTTGACTGTTTAAACAGGAATATTTTTATGTACCTACAGCTTAATGCAGGAAGGTACTGAACACTGGCCTATATCTGTGAAAGTACCTTCTCATGTACCACATAAAACAGGTATAGCTCTGTTGAAGTAATTAAACCATTACCATTAAAACAGGTGCAAAAATACTGTGTTGAGTTAGGTTCAGAAAACTCAACACCTTGCAGCATCAAATAGACACTTTTTGCTGTTTCACTGTGTATCTTCACTCCTGCAAGAAGATATGTATAAGCAAAATCTACTGTTTTAGATATGCTGGTAAATCCAGAGTAATGCTCTTATAGTATTGGAGAAAAAATAAATGTTAATCCTCAAAATACCTTGTTTACCCTCAGAATCTTCCAGAAAGGTGAGGTATATTCCTTAGTCATTCAGCTAACTCCAGCGTTTCAGCATAATTTGCATAACAAAAGTTTGACCTTAAAGAGGCAATCTTTTCTTTCTATTGTGATAACTGTAAATGTAACAAATGTAACATGTGGGGGATGTTATCACTTCAGGTTGTCAGAAACAAGTCTTGGTTCTTTGTGAATATTAGGACGGTTGCAAGACAAGGGACTCCTGAATAATCCCTTTAGGCGCCTGGGCCTTGGGAGAACAGGTATGCAAACTACAGAGATAAGGAGGCTGCAGGATAATCTGAAGACCCCTGCCGAGAGACGCCAAACAAACATGTGCGACAGACATTACCATATATTAATGAATTCTCGGAAAAGCCATTACTATGATAAACATTTCTTGGAAATGTAATGAATATGTATGTTAACATAGCATAAATACCTAGTAACTGTGTCTCTTCGGTGCACACGTTTGGAGGAGAGATCCCCCGTGTGCCCGGCGCCGCAATAAAGAATACCTGCTTAATAGTCTGCCGACTATTGAGTCTTCAACTCTGGCTTTTCACGGCATCAGTAGTATACAAAATAGTAAGAAAAAACCCAAACGCTAAGCCAAGAAGTATGCCAGTGGAAATGCATTTAACAAAATTTAACAAAGTACAGCATGAAAAACTACATTTTTTAGCTTTTAGCGTGTCTCTTTGGCTTTCTGTCTGCTGGCTTCTTTTCTTCTGTTCCCGACTCCTGGACAGGCAGCCACTTCAGAGGATTGCGGCGGTACATAGGCCATGGAGGGAGCGTTAGCTTAGAGAGAAGGAAGGAAGTCAGAACATGTAAATCAAGGTGCTACATAAGTGTTTTTTACAGCTTATTAGGAAAATCTCATTCTCTAACTATCATACCAGTTAGCCTTAAGAAAGTTCATACAGTGTCATACTATAGATATATTGCCTACATTGTGGACTGCATAGTCAGGCTTAAGTAAAAATGACTAAAGGATCCCAGCTCATTATGAGGAGGACAACAGCACCCACCCTGAAGAAGAAAAGGCTACCCCCGGACTACCAAGATAACACCAGCTAACGCCTCTGTGAAACTCTCCCATTATCTGGCATCGTAGATAAGGAACTGTAGCAAGACCGACTACAGGGACATTTAGAACAAGGACACCGTGGGTGATGATGCCATAAAATTACAGTGGATTTCAAAACAGTAGTGTGTGTGTTAAGTAGCGATTGGCCAAACCATGTTGTAGCTGAACTTGAAAGCTGTAAGAACCCTGTGTAAAACCGTGTTTGGTGTGCCCCAGCTGGAACGGGACACCTTGTGTGCACGAATAAGGAATTACTTCTGTAATTCTCTACTTTGCATCCTGGCCTCTCTCCCCAGTTAGCATGGGCCAGGTGCAAAATTTTTGTGACAAACTGCTGCTTCACAGAAAGCCTTACTGTCCATTCTGTTATTAGCTTGACTTCAAATAACATTTAATTGAAATTAAAAACTAGTGCAGAAGCAGTATTAAATTGCAGTGTTCTCCAATGTCCCTGCTCATGGCAGGGGCGTTGGAACCAGATGATCTTTAAGGTCCCTTCCAACCCAAACCATTCTATGATTCTATTCTATGATTCTGTAAAATCTTTGAGAAAAGGCACTTACTGGCTTGTAAGGCACTTTCTACAGGACAAAGTACAGATAGGTATTAACAAACTGTATTGCATAGCAAGTATTTATCTGTGCTGCCAGCCCCTTAATTTAAGGATTACTTCAGGTGAAATAGCACATGTATGTTCTGATTTGGGGAAAAAAAATCCTTACCAAACACGATAAAGCAAACCCAGCCATAACTATGTAGACAGTCCAGCCGAACTGTTCAGTGATGTATCCATAGATAAAGCCAATTATCTGCAAAAAAAAGAAGCAGCTAAACAAATATTTCTCAGGCTGTAATTAAGTTGGGGGCGGGAGGAGAAGTAGAAAAAGACAGGTTTTTCAAAAGCACAGTTCTTTCTAACCTCGTTTTCAAAGTTGTAGGCCAACAATGAAAGTAAAAGTTTGAAAGAACAAAAGTCTTACTCCACAGCAGCCCCTCTGATTTTGTCTAAAGCTTTTGGTGATGCAGTTAAGCCAAACAATGAGGAAAAAACGCCTTGTTTGTAAGATCAGAAAATAGTCCTTTACGTTATCGCCCATAGTTCTAGTATACTTACTGCAGAGACAAGAATGATTCCTTGAAAAATCTGTTCTGCTAATTTTTGGCCCTTGTAGTCCTGTGGAAAGAGGTATTTTTTTGTCAGTTACCCAAAACACAAACCTTGCCAGTTAAAGTCTTTCAGGTTAGAGCCTGGAGTCAGCCTGACCACAGGTTCTCAGCTTTTTTATTCAACTTTCAAACAAGACTAGAATGATTTTTCTTGCCATGTCTGGATTGCAAGTGTCAAAGCATTAAGCTCTGAATTCACACCTCCCCTGCAGGCTTGACCACATCTAAAAATAAAAGCAAGTGCTGTCCGTCCAGGGTAAGCCATGGAAGTTCCAAACACCCTTGCAGTTAGATTAATATCACTAAGTGAAAGCCTGGCCACCGCAACAGAGAGAACGGGGGGGGGGGGGGGGGGGGGGGGCGGGCCCCCCGCGGC